TGAACAAATTGAAAAGAATATTATTTAAAATAAAAATTTTCAAATTATAAAAAAAAATTAGTATATGGCTTACTTTTGAAGCAAATTATCAATTCACTAATCCCGTATATGTAACAAATAGCATTTCTAAATTTCATTAAAATTACTTGCCTTTGCTGACAGCCAGTGATACACTCTATCATATCTGCAGATTTTTGAATCTCTTATTTTTATCCTTTTTATCAAATATCATAAATGTAGCAGTAAATAGCCTATTTAAATTATTCGCATTTGCTTATTTTGATAGTGATCCTTAATAATTAAAGTATAAGTGATTTGAGTAAAAATTCAAATTTCAAAATATCAAAACTAGTGGACTGTACTTTATAATTGGCTAATTAATTCAAATAATCACTTCGTTTCTCTGAAAAATAAGATATTACATATTAAATGAATACCAAATTTTATATTAGCTGTATACAAAATAATAGAAAATTCTGATCTGTATAAAGAATGACCCTTTGAATTGAGCTGCGCCAACTAATTAGATCTTTCTATGATCTAATTGTGATGACGAACTTAGTGACGTACAAAATAGTAAAGTAAAATATAGTATCCGTAAGCATAATAAATATCGTAATTAATTAAAAGTTTAATTGACGCAAAGAGAAAATAAATAAATAAGTGCTTTAACAAATTCAATACATAAAAAAATCAAATACTTACTCTCAAACATCTTTATCTCTATCTTATAATAATAGTAAAGTTTTCTATCACTTAATAAAATTATTTAGTAATACTATAACACCAGTAAAAACTAAACTGATACCTAATAAATATAATGTTTTGCACCTCTTGTTCATGTGTGCTATCCTCTGATGCCTTTGTGCTTGACAGTAAAAGCAACAAAACATGTGCTAAATATTTGATTACTAAAGCAGAAAAGAGAGCCGAAAAGAGAGCTGAAAATGCTAATATTGAAGATATTCCTATGGAAAAAATTTCTTTTAAAGAAATTAGTGATTATATAACTGATAGCATAGAGCAAAATGAAAACCCTATTAATTTTCACATTATACTTGATGAAAATATACTTAGTATTGCTGATATAAACATTAAGCTAATGGCCAAATTGATTGTTGACGAAATCAAAGAAGGAGATGGCTATAATTGGATGTAAGTATAACTTGTTAAGTAATAATAAATGAATAAATAAAATTTATACTTAATATATTCAATTGTAGTTCTACAATGGCTCCAAATCTTTCAGTTCATTATCAGGGCGTTGGCAATGCTTACTTCGTATGTTCACAAAGTAATGAGATTAAACGTGAATATGTAGATTCGAATCGTAAAAGAATTGATCAGTTTGATTGCAAAGGCAAGTTAACTATAAAAGTAGACTTATTAGCAGCAGAGGCAAAAGTAATATTACAACACAATCTTATGCATAATAAACCTATTGACATTGCAGTGCCATCAGAGATTAAGCAAGAAATAAAAGAAAATTTAGAGATGACTCCAACATATTTACGATCATATCTTCGCAAAAAATTTGATCTATCATACATTACCTCAAAACAAATATATTACTGGTGGTCACATTACACTCAGCAATTCTATAAATATGATAAGAACCATGTTGTTTCCGCATGTGCATTTTTTGAACGGCAACAGAAAAGTGGGTGCAACTTGTATTTTCAACTTGAAACAAAATATGTAACAGCCATTAGTTTTACTACACCTTTACTTGCCCTAACAAAAAATATAATAGAAATATATTGTGATGCCACATATAAAATGGCTAAGGGGCATTTTGAACTTTATGGACTTGTCAGTAATGTCAAAGGCATGGGATTTCCATTGGGTTACCTTATTTTAGATACAACAAAGGTCTCTAACAATGAAGCTCAAGAAGGATTGTGAACAGAAGCTCTCACAGGCTTTTTTCATGCTATTTGTAGTAAAGGTTTAAATCCAACTTACTTTTATACGGATAAGGATTTCGCACAGATAAATGCCGCAAAAAATGTATGGCCAAATAGTGATATACAACTGTGTCTGTGGCATCTTGAAGAAGCAATCAAAAAAAAACTTAGAAGCTGTAATCGAATTCAGCATACAAATTATTAACATCAAGAAGTTATGAAAGAATTTTCTTTTGTTGATTCCTCCTTTTTACCTAATTTATAGTGTGAGGATAAAGAATACTATATTGTTTGCCTAACTGATCTGCGAAGAACTGTCATAGATCTTATTCGAAAACATTATAATATGCATCATAAGATCTCTGTTAATGCTGATGGACAATTCTTATTACCTACAGAAATAAGAGTTAAATCAGTTCATAAAATGTATGAATTTTGCATTACAAATGGTCTCGTAATTCTTTGGTCATATTTGTGGCCTGCCTGGTATAAAGAAACGTGATGGTGTCTTTAGGCATGCTCTACACGAAAAGATATACCACTTGCTAAAACAAATAATATGATTGAGGCCTATTGGAAAGTCTTAAAGCATTCTTACCTTTATCAATATCTTCTTTGGGTAATATGTTCGCATGTCTTACCTGATCAAGTTAATAGACTTCAGCAATTGCAAATTGGCAGAATAACACCGCCATGGTTTGATGATTTTAAAGCAAAATGGAGAAACCTTCTTGCAAAGCCAGTTAATAAAGCTGAAAAACACTACTATATTGATTTGACACGCTAGATTTGCAGCTATCCTTCATTTCTTCGCAGTCGCTTTCTTATCTGCAAACACTTGATCCATAAAGCCTCCAAAAAAGCAGAATCTCTTCACAAAGTATTCGATTAATTTATTCAAATTTTAAACGGCAAACAGACTATCCTTTTTTGATCTAGAATGGAAACAAAGACATATTGAAAAATCTAGAAAGCTCAGATATGCATGATCAAGTTAGTACATCTGATCAGGATGCCCATGAAAAAGAAAACACCCATGAAAGAGAATATATTGAAAGGTGTGAGAAAGTTGAATTTAAAATTGTAGAACTAAACCGCTTAATTGATCATATAAATAAAGAATGGTCAGCAAATAAT